AGTGCATCCTACACTGACTGGAGATCAAGGAACTGGATGCCCAAGCTGCCCTGGGTGCTAGGAACACACAGTTCTACCAACCAATGGAAGACATCTCCTTGACCAAGGTCCTGACGTTCCCTAAGGGCAGATCACAGCCGCCTATCAGATCAGGAATATAAAGGCCTTGAGCCAGGCTGCAGGGCAGATGTCCTCAACCAGCCCAGCTCTAGAACTTTCCTTGGGAAGAGGAGCAGGCATAACTGTATAGGAACTAAGCTAAGAACTGAGCTAGGAACTAGGAACTAAGCTTAGTTCCTAGCTCCCTCATTCTAAGCCCCTCTGCTCCCGAGGCTGGTCTACCTCTCAGGGCCAGGAAAGCCTTATCTTGAAGTCCTGTGGCTTTGGCAGAAGGTCAGACCTGCACTGCAGAGACTGAACAAACTGGTATGGACCGACTCAAGGTGAGGCAGCTCGTGAGGAGATTAGCAAGAGGGCAGGGCTGGGGCTAGGGATGCCATTCAGTTGTCAGAGAGCTTGTCTAGCATGCATGAGGTCCTGGGTTTGACTCCCCAAGGGAATAGCTAGGGGAGTTCCAGGCCAACCTGCAATACGGATACGGGAGATTTTGCTTAGGGAAGGAGGAAGGGAGGAAGTTAGGGAGGGAAATAAAAGGTCCTTGCAGAGGACTCAGATTTGGTTTCCAGCACCCACATGGCAGCTCCAGTACAGGGGAAATCTGATGCCTTTTTCGGACCTCCATGGGCACTATACATGCTGGTAAATATTCATATATATAAAACAAAACAAATAAATCTTTAAGAAAGAAAAGAGGGTCAGAGCCTGAATTCCCAGCACAGAGGGAACGACAGTCCCCAGCAATGGCACAGGGTGTGATAAATGGACCAGATTCTGAGGATCCCTGGATACAGGCTGGAGGTGCCAGTGAGTTGGGCTGCCTTCTGTCTGGAAGTCATTCTCCAGCTTGGGACCAGCATGTTGGGTTGCCAGCTCTGGTTCACCCAGTCACTAATCCCGTGACCTCCCTGCTTCTGAGGCAAATACTAATCCTTCCTTCATTGTGAGGCTATGGGGATGGGAAGCCTGGACAAAGGCCTGAAGGAACATTTGATCGGCCACAGCAAACACTGTTCCAGTTGCTCCAGGCTTCCCAACTAATCTGCTGGGAGGTCTGCAAAGGGTGTAACTTTAGGGACAGACACACCCAACTGCAGCCCTGGGAACTGAGACATACTCCAAGCTTCTGAGCCCCAGGCCTCTAGCTGGCAAGAGGGTAGTGCTGCTCTGGAGTTAAGTAAGGACTAGAAAGCTGTCAGCACGTGGTGTGAAGTCAGCCAGGGGCAGCTACTGCTGCTGGGTGACGTGGAATGGACTCCCACGTGGTTCTGCAAGCCTGGCCACGCCACAGTAGGCAGCACAAACTCAGCAGGGCCCAGTCTCAGCCTCTATGTGCTCCCAACCTGCTTCTCCTCCACTGTTCTCTCTGTAAATGTCCACAGCTGCCCCAGCAGACACAGGGAGCCGCTACTGCATTCTCCTCCCCAGCACTCCCTTCCTAGCAGTCAACGGGTCTGCGCTTACCAAGCCCTTCCTCCCCTAGTGTCTACTGCACACCAAGCCCTGGTCCACCACACTCTCTACAATCTTTACTTTGGTCCTCAGGTTGGTCTATCCTCTTTCACACTTAAACCAGTTTGATCTGCAGTGGTTCACACTCTTTGATCTGCCCACTAAGGGCAAGGCCAGGACTGACTCGGCTATTCCGAGGCAAAGCAGAGAGCCTGGTATACAGTAGGTGCTTAATAATACCAGCTGGATGGCAAATGGATGACTGTATGCATGAACTGACCATGCTGACACGAGTAAGAACAATAACAGAACAGGTCACAGGCAGGTGGCACCTCTGCCTACCAAGCCTTGCCCCAAATCTTTTATATAAATTATCCGTTTGTTGCTCATAGTCATGCCACGGGGCCGGGAACCATTCTCCAATTTTATATGAAGGTAACCTGTCAAAGGTCACCTCGGCAGTACACAGCAGAAGCAAGATCTGAAAGGGTCTGGCTGTGCCGTAATCAGGTACAGTGGTCCCGGACACCAAATCCTTGTGTTCATCTGGTGAGGCCAGAGCCACCGAGATGAGGGAAGGTCTGCCTGTCAGACAGACCTCAGCTGACAGCTGGCTTCTGGTTCACTGTGACCAGCTAGAGGAGCTGCTCCTCTGAAGGCTGCCTCTTCTGGCTCTCAGTGGATAAAGCCTAAGAGTCCAGAGCCCGCACAGTGGAAAGAGACAACCAACTCCTACGATGCGATTTCCAGCCTACACACAAACGCAAGTGCTTGCACACATACACACACGATCTTTTCTCAAAAAGAGACGCAGGCTGTGGATACAGGTCCCGGGCAGGTCTGAACCTGGGGTGGGTACAGGAACACTGGCTTTGGACCTTCTCCCCTCTGCTCAGGCCCCTTTTTCTGGGATTCAGGTCTTAGCACCCACTCTGGGGGCAGAAGACTTCAAACCAGCCGGCAGTTTCAGGGGACCGTGCCTTGGGGCTCGCCTGCAGGCTGGGCCCCCACCTCTGCCTCCCCAGAGCAGCTCTGCTTTTGTCTGGGCTTCTGAAGACACTTTCAATGGGAGGAAAGGTTCTGCTGCTCAAATAACTTTAGAAAATCAATGCCCCGAGGGATAAATGTCCTTGTCTAACAAAATACCCTGCTTGTGTCAATCTGGATGACATTCAGGGGCTCCAAAGTAGTCAGTTCTCTCTCTCTTGGGAGAGACAGGAGGGTGAACCTAGCCCAGTCCAATGTCAAGGCTGATCTCACTGCCATTCTCTGCTCTGTCCACCAGCTCCTGTGTGGCAAACCACATGCCTGTTTTGCATAGCCTTTCCTCTCCATTTACCCACCTGGTTTTCTCTGGAATAAAAAAACAAAACCTATGAAGACTCAGGGATGCGGCTCAGTTGGTAGAGTGTTTGCCTACCATGCACGAAGTCCTGGGTTCAATCCCCAGCATCTCCCATAAACTGGGCATACTGGCAAATGCCAGTGAATGCTGGCACTTGGGAGGCAGAGGCAAATGATCAGGGTTATCTTCATTTACAAACTGAATTAAAGAGCAGCCTGAAGTGGGGTGTAGTGGCGCATGCCTTTAACCCAGCACTTGAGAGGCAGAGGCAGGCACATTTCTGTGGGTTTAAGGCCAACCTGGTCTACAGAGCGAGTTCCAGGATAGTCAGGGCTACACAGAGCTACTGAGGCTTCTGCATACATACACACATGTGCACACACATCTAGAAACATACATCCATTGAACACACACATGAAAAATGGGGAGAGAAAACTCCACAGTCCCATTGTTTGACAAGCAGTATGCGACGAACTGGTCCATGTGACCTGAGATCCTCACTACAGGCCTGTTGGGTATTACCCCCATCTTAGAAAAGGGGAAAATGGAGTTTGGAGTCAGGAAAAGATCCATCCAAGGACTCCAGTCCAGGTTGGTTGGACTCCAGAGTATTCTTCCCACTGTGCCCTTGCCTCCCACCTCTCACTCCTGCCTCTCCTCCTTCCTTACCTTCTTGCAAGCACTTCCCACGCACAGGCAGGCCCAGCTGGCTCACTCAGAGCCACACTCTCAGAGGGCTCCCCCTCTACAATCCATGTTCCCTCTGCTCCTCAGCACTTCCTCGCCTCCTGACTTCTTCATGCCTTTCCTTTTTTTTTTTTGTTTTTGTTTTTTCAAAGATTTATTTACTTTATATGCATCGGTATTTTGGCTGCATGTGTGCCTGTGTGAGGGCATCAGATCCCTTGGAACTGGAGTTACAGACAGTTGTGAGCTACCATGTGAGTGCTGGGAACTGAATCTAGGTCCTCTGGAAGAGTAGTCAGTGTTCTTACCTGCTGAATCATCTCTCCAGCCCCATCCTTTCCTTTTCTTTGAGGGGGATTGGTTCGGTTTTTTGAGACAGAGTCTTATTATGTAGCCTTGGCTGGTCTGGAACTCACCACGAGATTGGCGTTGATAATCCTCCTGCCTTGGACCCTTGTCTGCTATGATTACAGGCGTGTACCACTGTGAGAGTCTCGCCCTGCAGCCTGGGTTAGCTTAAACCTCTGATCTTCCCCCACAGCCTGATCACAGCCTGTGATCAGGGAATAGGTGTGCGTCCCCAGGACCTCATTTCCTGTTGATGCTCCCCACCCCCAGCCGGTCCATCACTTTAGGCAGGCAGCATCTCTTGGGGAAGCCCTGAGTGCTAAGTTAGAGTCAGGGATCTGCTCTGAGTCTCTCCTATGAGTTTTCTCCATCAGAAACCACTGTGGTAACTTGCATCCTGGACCCTAACAAGATTCTAAGTTCTTGGGTGCAAAGTGTCTGTTCCCTGAATCCAGCACAGAGCAGGACACAGAGTTGGTGCTCCACACACACCTACTGAGGGAAGGTGTGAGCTGACGGACAGCTCTGGATTTTTGTTTAGTTGGTTCTGCAACAAGGTCTCAGGTGACATAACCCCAGCTGGCCTCAAACTTGCAACTGAATGTAGAATGACCTCGAATCCTCCTGCCTCCACCTCTCCAGTGCCAGGATTACAGGCCTGCATCACCACGCCTGGGGTCTCAGGCACGCTATGCATGCCCTCTACCAACTGAGCCATATGCCCAGCCCCAGAAGACAACTCTTGGGGCCTGAAGTGATGGAGCAGTTCTTGTTCTTGGTCGTGCCCCCTAGAGGACGCACCCCTTGATGACCTCAGGCTACCTGATTCCTACTCCATGGCACAGTCATTCACTCATCAAACCTCTGAACATAGAGGAGCATCTGGCAAAAACACGGGAGGTGACTCAATGCTGCGCTTTTCCTACCTGGCCCCGAGACACCCAGGGCAAAGGTAACTGAGCGCGCACCATCAACCTTTCACCTGTTTCTTTTGCTTTGTGCTGATCTGGCCCCACCTTCCCTTCCGTTCCCAGCCCCCTGCCAGCCATACCCGGTTGATGAGCTCGCCAACCATGCCTGTCCAGGAGCCATTTGGCTCAGGTGCTCCGTACAGTCCATCCTCTACCAACCGCAGGCGATACCGGAAGCGCAGCAGCTCCGCCAGCTCCCGAAGCATGTCCACACAGAAGCCCTCGAAGCGCTCGTTCCCTGACAAGGCCTGGAAGTTAGGCCTGCGCATGACATACGGGTTCTCCTGGGTGGGCAAGAGAGAGCAGAGGTCAGAGACTGAGAACTTGGGGGCTGAGTCAGGGATCCTGGGGCCCAGGACCAAAGAGGCGTGGATGACAGAACCCCTACATGCTGGTCTGCTTTTTCTGTTTGTTGTGTGGATGTGGGGGGGCGGGGGCTGGAGGACAACCCCTGGTGTCACTCCCCAGGAGCCTTGATCTTTTTAATTTTATTTTGTATGTATGATGTTCTGCCTGCATGTGTGTCTGTGTACCATGTACATGCCTGCTGCCAGCAAAGGCAAGAAAGTATTGGATGCCTTGGAACTCAGATGGCTGAGAGCTGCCATGCAGTGCTGGGAACTGAACCCCTGTCCTCGTAACTGCGGAGCCATCTCTCCAGCCTTCCCATCTGCCTTGTTTGTTTGTTTTCTTGAGACAGTCTCTGCTTGGCCCAGAATAGGTAGAGTAAGGTGGGCAGAGTAGCTTGCAAGCCCCTGGGATCTGCCTGACTCTGCCTCCCAGGCATTAGGAATACAAGCCAGACTGCACTGTCTCCCAAGCCCTGTGTGCTGGTTTTTGAGACTTCCTCTCATGTCATCCAGGCTATATCTAAACCCAATGTCTAGACAAGAGCAGCCTTGAACTTCTGATCCTCCTGCCTCTGCCCGAGTGCTCGAGTCACAAGTGTGGACGACCATTCCTGGCTAAGGGACATATTCTTATTTGGAAATGCTGTGAGTGGCCTTAACCCCAGCACTGGAGACGCAGAGGCAGGCAGATCTCTGAGTTCGAAACCAGCCTGGTCTACAGAGTGAGTTCCAGGACAGGCTCCAAAGCCACACAGAGAAACCCTGTCTCAAAAAAACAAACAAAACAGAATAAAATGCATGCTGTGCGTGGAGAGCGGGCCTGAAAGCCGAGGGGCTTGGGGATGCACCCGTGGGCTCTGCAGCCCCTTATCAGACTCCAGCCAAAACGTCTAGGAGAAAGGGGGACTCTGGAGGGACTCAGAATGGGCTGGCATCAAATTAGAATGGAGCTTTCAAGATTCTCTTCCGACATGCCTTACTCAAGTCATCCATTTTACACGTACAAGTACACACATGACCCTATCCAGCTCCACCAGGCAGCCCTTGCTCTCTGTTGTCACACACATGGGTAATTTCAATTTCGAGTTCTTCATCCCCTGCCCCCACCGCACAGCCAGCAGTGACTCACAAAACCAACTTTACGAGCCACCAATGTGGCCCACGAGAGTATCCCTCACCAGGATTTTGCTCTAGCCCGAGCTGCCACGAGGCAGGCAGGCATGACACGCCAGATGGTAAAACTGCAAGAGAATTTGGAAGCCTGGATTGTTCTGTAAAATCCCCTGATTATGAATGTCAACAACTCATTCAAATTCTAATACCTTTTTTTTTTTAGGCCACATGAACACACCTGCCAGTTTGCAATCTCTGGCTTTTTGCTATGTGGATGGTCTTTTGTAGGTGTTGTTTTGAGATTTTAAAATTTTATGCATATGGGTGTTTTGCCTGCCTGTACATCTGTGTACCATGTACTTGCCTGGAGCCCAAAAAAGTCAGAGGAGGGCATTGGATCCCCTGGAACTGAAGTTATGGACGATTATAAGACACCATGTTGTGGCTGGCAACCAAACTCAGGTTTCTGTAAGAATAGCCAGTGCTATTGGTTTTGTTTTGTTTTTGAGACGAGGTCTCAATATGTAGACCAGGCTAACCCCAAACCCACAGAGATCCTCCTGCCTGTCACCTGAACCAGGATTGAAGACGGTGCCCTCAAACTCACAATTTTCCTGTCTCAGTTTTCTGAATTCTAGGGTTATAGGTGTATGTGTCACCGTGAGTGGTTACACTGAAGATTACTTTTGAGAGTCACAAGTAGACTTTACTGATCTCAGTATGACAAAGAAACATGGAGGCAGAGAGCCTTTCAGGGTACCAGCAGAGCAAGGGCATCTAGAGGCCATTGCAATAATAATGTAACTTATCTAGGCAGTGATTGTCTAAATGGGTGGCAGGACAGCGTCCCTTTACACAAAAGAATTTAGGACTCAGGAAATACCCAGGAAGAACTTTTTAGTAATAATATCCACGATGTTTACCATGAGATAGACCTCTCCCTCCTTCCCTCTCCTGTGTGTAATTCTTTTTTTAATATTTATTTATTTATTTATTATGTATACAATATTCTGCCTGTATGTGTGCCTGCAGGCCAGAAGAGGGCACCAGACCTCATTACAGATGGTTGTGAGTCACCATGTGGTTGCTGGGAATTGAACTCAGGACCTTTGGAAGAGCAGGCAATGCTCTTAACCACTGAGCCATCTCTCCAACCCCTGTGTGTAATCTTTAGATTACTTGACTTGAAAAAATTCTTTATCATTAGCCAGGAAGTAGTGGCACACACCTCTAATCCCGTCAGTGGGGAGGAGGCAGAGGCGAACAGACCTTTGTGAGTTAAAGGATGTGTGTGTGTACACAATGGAGAAAGGGCATGCATCCATAACACACATGTATAGGTCAGAGGACAACTCTGTGGAGTCTGTTCTCCCCTTCCACCTTAATATGGGTTCCAGGGATCAAACTTGGGTTCTTGGGCTTTTCAGCAAGTGCCTTTGGCTGCTGATTCCTCTCACTGGCCCCAGATTATTTGGCTTTAAATCTTCACAGGAGTCTATAATAAAGTGAGTATTGTTAGAATTCTTTTTTCTTTGCAAAGCTGGGGATTGAATCTAGGGTCTTGGCATGCTAAGCAAGCACTCTACCACTGAACCACACCCCAGCCCCTCATTGGGGGATTCTAGGCAGGGGCTTTACCTCTAAGTCACACCCAACCCCTCACAGGGGGATTCTAGACAGGGGCTCTACCACTGAGCCACACCCCAGTCACTCACTGGGGGATTATAGACAAGCCCTCTACTGAGGGGCTATAGTCAACCCTCTTTTTAAGTTTCCAACTTAAAACAGGGTCTTACTAACTTGCCCAGGCAGATCTTAAAGTCACAATGAAGACCAGTGGAGCTGTGTGTGGTTCTTCTACCTCAGTCTCCCAAATAACTGGAATGAAAGACTCTGCTTGTTTTTTGTGCACATGTACTGGAATTCAGAGAGGGAAGGTGGCAGAATCGGCTATTCTACCCTGCTGCCTCTTCCAACAACAGGCAGAGGTCACTCCTCAACTTCTTGTGGTAGCTGGCTTTGTGACTTGTCTTGACAAGATGAGGTAGAAATCAAGTCAGCCGAATTCTGGAGCCTCAGCCTTCAGAGCAGTTCTGAGACTTCTATATAAGTAAGTCCAGGCTAGTCCAGAGGAGGACAGGTGAACTAGGGCCTGGAAGCCAAAAGGAGTACCCATGGACATTCTGGGCTTTCTATACTTCTTAGCTACCAGATATACATAGCCAGTGAGTCCCCAGGAAACAAGATGAGAGCCACCAAGCAACACACAGAATCTCTAACAGTCCTAGTCTCTGAGTTTGGGGGGAGTTTTCAAAAGACCATAGACAGCCATTCTTCCCAGAAGACCAGGTTACACCAAAGGCCCTTGTATTCTCTGACCAACTAAAGCTTAGGGACACACAGGACAGAGGGAGCTGGAGCTTTTCTCCCTTCCAAGCAGCTCCTCCAAATCCAAAATTGTGGAAGCGGGGATGGGAATGTGAGATAACACTAATAATAGCAGCGGCTGCTAGCATTTCTTGTGGGCTTGCTATGTGACAGCTCTGTCAGCGTGGGAGGGCAGCGGTATTATTACCTCTGTCTTACAGTTGAGGACACGGAAGGCCAGAGGAGCAAAGTTGTAAGTCAGTGGGATTCCAAAGGCCCAAAGATCTGCTCTTTAAGTCCTAGGCCAGACTGAGCTCAAGTGGACAGAGTGGGGCAGTGGGCATGGGAGAAGCCAGACAGAACGGGGGAGCTGGATTACGAGGAACAAAAGCCTGTGCTGTGACTCCAGGTCAGAACACAGAGGAGGCTGCAGGTTAGGGGTAAGGCGTTCAGGCCAAGGCCACCAGGCAAAGAACAGCAAAGGGAAGGAGAGAGTACAGGGCTGAGACCGATCCAGGCTGCACACACCAAAGTCACGCTCCTAAAGCCAACCTCCAAGTCAAAGATTTTGGAATCATGGTCTGTCTACAGCAGCCTGAGGCTATAGAGATGATGGAGAAGGAAGCCTAGCATAAGACTCGGCTAACTAAAGGATATAGATTTTAATTTACAGTCCCGACACTCAACTAAAGGATCAAAGCTCCCTTTCTTCCACCTACCTCCCCCCACCCTTTTTTCTATATTAAGGGTTGAACCTGGGTTCCCACGGAGCAACGCTCCCAGTGTTCTTTGTTTGAGACAGAGTCTCACTAAATTGTCCAGGTTGGCCTTGAAGTAACTCTGCAGCCCAGGCTGGTCTTGAAGTAACTCTGCAGCCCAGGCTGGCCTTGAACCTTTGATGCTACCAGTGGTTCTTTGTTTGTCTGTTTGTTTGTCAAGACAGGGTTTCTCTCTAGTTTTGGAGTCTGTCCTGAAACTAGCTCTTGTAGACCAGGCTGGCCCTGAACTCACAGAGATCTGCCTGCCTCTGCCTCCCAAGTGCTGGGATTAAAGGTGGGCACCACCACCGCCTAGCCCTCCCAGTGGTTCTTAAAGGAGGCTCTTAGTCAAGATTATCAGACTTCTTTCAAGACACTGTTTGAGAACCCCAAAGCTGGGGACAAGCTAAGGATGCTTCGGAGCCAGCTCTAAGAAGCTGTCTCACGAATGGATGAACATCTATGCACAGAAATACGAGTCCAAGAACAATCATTGCACCGGGGCTTGGGGTGGGAACAAAGATCTAATTTGGAACATGTTAGAGAGATCATCAGTGTCATAAAAGGATCCTAGGCAACTACAAAAATAGCAAGGTCTGTAAGATATATTAAGAGGGAAAACCCACCAGCTACAGAACAATCTGTACAATATGCTATTCTCTGTGAAAGGAGCTGGGATGTGCTTGTACATAGAGA